CACGGGGTCGCTATGAGTAGAAAATGACCTGATGGCACACAACAACATGCAGCTATAGTAAGTGGAATAAGGCATTTGTAAAATCACTGTGCACTGCCCCTATAACAATTATTCCCATCTTCTTATGTGAAAGATTAACTGTGCTGTATTTTTACTTGTTTTATATTCTGAACTGCAGCCTGTAAAACTTAAGAGTTTTGGATTCAAAATTTGAAACATATCCAAAAGAAATTTTAATAAATGCTTTTCCAATGAACTGGAATTACTAATCCCTACATATGGAGAAAGGGAAAGAATGACTAAGGTTTCTAAGATAGTTAGCTCAGAGGTTTCTAGCTTTGATGACTGATTAGAGGTAATAACACTGTCCTACAGAAAAAGCAAGGAGGCCTGGTGGCACAGTGGTTAAGCACCCGGCTACTAACCAAAAGGTCGGCGGTTTAAACCCACCAGCCACTCCGCAGGAGAAACATGTGGCAATCTATTTCTGTAAAGATTTACAGCCTTGGAAACCATCTGGGGCAGTTCTACCCTGTCCTATAGGGTCACTATGAGTCAGAAGCAACTCGATGGCAATGAGTATAGGAAAAGCAAGTAGGAACATGGAAAACCCACTGCCGTTGAGTTGACTCATACCTACCCTATAGGGCAGAGTAGAACTGCCCATACAGTTTCCAAAGCTGTAAATCTTTACGAAAGCAGAATATTTAGGAGACAGAACCACCAGTCAGGGTTTGGTGATTCACTCGATACAGGGGCAAAAGAGGGGAATCAAGAATGATGCTCAGGCTTCCGGCTTGAACAACAGAGGAGGATGGTACCATTCATGGAGATGGAGAACAGAGGAGGAGGTAGCTTTGGAAAGGGTTGGGTAGAAGAAAATGGTAAGCTTAGTTTGGGCAGTGATGAGTTTGAGGGGCCTGAGAGACATACAATGAACTTGTCTAGTGGTAGTTAGACATGCAGCAGGACCTTTGGGCTGGAAATATATAACCAGAAGTCATCCATATAAAAATGGTAACTGAAGTCACAGAGAAGGGATAAGATCACCCAAGGAGAATATCAATGGAAGAAAATGTGAGAGAAAGTCAGATAAGAGGTAAGAAGAATCAAGTGAAAGTGATGTGGCAGAAAGGAGGAGTAAGTTTCCAGGAAGAAGTCATCAACAATGTCAAATAACAGAGGATTCAAAATAAAGTTTGAAGAATGTCCATCTGATTTATTAATTCAAAAGCCACTGATAACCTTAGTAAGAGCTGTTTTAATGTAGTGGTGTGAGCAGAATCAGACTGTAATGGATTGAGGAAAAACTGAAAGATGGGAATTGCAAACATGTAGAGCCTATTCCTTTTAGAAGCTTGGCTGTGAATGGAAGGAGAATGACAAAAACACTGGAAGGAAAAAAAAAACAGTGAAAAGAAGGTTTAACTGTGAACGGTTATCTTGTGAATGATACCTAATATTTTACACAGAAAGAAGTCAGCTGAAAAGTAGTGTCTGAAAACTCTTAATATCTAATAGATTTTCAAAGGACACAGACAGGAATGGAATGTACTCAATTCTAGAGCATTCACAGACATGGTAACTTCAACTCTTTTTCCACAGGCATTATTATTATACATTGCTAATGGGAATGTAAATTAGTACAATCACTTTGGTGGTCCTTGGCGCCATCTATCAAAATGTTAAACATGTGTAACATTTGAGCCAACAATTCTCTATCCAGGAATTTATCTGAAACATACTTGTACGTGGGCAAAAAAACATATGTACAAGATTATTCACTGAACCACTGTTTAAACTAGAAAAAACTAGAAATAAACAATGTCCATCAACAAGAGACTACTTAAGTCATGGATATCCATACAATCTAAGTAACTATGGGGGAAAAAATGATGACACTTTCTATATACTAATAGAAAATCTCATAAATTTATTAAGCAAAAAATAAAAGTGCACAAAAGTATGAACGTTAGTTTCTATCTGTAAAAGAGGGAAAAATAAAAATCTGTTGCCGTTGGGTCAATTCCGACTCACTGCGACGCTACAGGACAGAATAGAACTGCTCCACAGAATCTCATTTACAATATGCATAAAAGAAATTCTGGAGTGATAAGCAAGAATCTAAAAAGAGTGGTTACCTGTTTGTGGAAGGGATTCAAAGTAGACAGATGGTGAACAAGAATGAGAATAGGCACTTTAACGTGTTTATATTTTCTAGCTTGTGAGCCATGAGAATATAGTACCTACTCAAAATCTTAAACTAAAATAAAACTTCGAAATTTTCTTCCAAGACAGAGTTAAGAAAGGAACATCAAGATGCTAATAAACTTCTAGACACAAGATATGAATGAGAAAGAATCATTACAGCAGAGTTTTAAGTTTTTGTTTCTATTTTCTCCATGAAGTAGCTTAAGGGAATGACAAGAAAAATAAGGGGTGGCCATGGAATAAGGAGTTGGAGGAGAATATAGTTTGAAATAGTAGCTGTAGGCAATTGAAGACGGAGCTTTGAAAATACACTAGACATGATTAAAAATTCTTTATACAAAAAGGATATACCGGATCTGTTCAGTAGAAGGTACATCACGTGAGAACTATGACATCTTGTGGGAAGAGTAAGTTTAAAAGCCATCTTTTAAGACAATTTGCTTAGACTTAAGATAGCATGAGGAATGCCAAACTAAATCAACCCCTTCCCCTACTATATTCTTTGTCTCCAGTATATTTCCAGGGTCTAGCCAGAAATTCAAGCTGGATTCAGAAGAGGACGTGGAACAAGAGATATCACTGCTGATGTCAGATGAATCTTGGTCAAAAGCAGAGAATAACAGAAAGATGTTTACCTGTGTTTTATTGACTATGCAAAGGTACTCGACTGTGTGGAGCATAACAAATTATGGATAACACTGCAAAGAACTGAGATTTCAGAACACTTAATTGTGCTCGTGAGTAACCTGTACTTAGACCAAGAGGCAGTCGTTCGAACAACAAGGAGATACTCCATGGTTTAAAGTCAGGAAAGGTGTGCGTCAGGGTTGTATCCTTTCACCATACTTATTCAATATGTATGCTGCACAAATAATCTGGAAGCAGGACTATATTAAGAACAAAGAGGCATCAGGGTTGGTGGCAGACTCAGTAACAACCTCTGATAAGCAGATGACACAACCAAGCTTTCTGAAAGTGAACAGGACTTGAAGCACTTACTGATGAAGATCAGTAAGGATTACACCTCAGTACAAAGAAAACATAAATCCTCATAACTGGACCAATAAGCAACATCATGATAAACGGAGAAAAGATTGAACTTGTCAAGGATTTCATTTTACTTGGATCCACAATCAACGCCCATGGAAGCAGCAGTCAAGAAACCGAACAACGTACTGTACTGGACAAACCTGCTACAAAAGGCCTCTTTAAATTGTTCAAAAGCAAAGATGTCACCCCGAAGACTAAGATGTCCCTGACCCAAGCCATGTCACATATGCATGTGAAAGCTCTACTATGAATAAGGAAGATGGAAGAATTGATGCCTTTGACTTATCGTATTGGCGAAGAATACTGAATACACCATGCACTTTCAGAAGCTGGAACAAATCTGTCTTGTAAGAAGTCCAGCCATAATGCTCCTTAGAAACGAGGATGGTGAGACTTCGTCTCACGTACCTTGGACATGTTATGAAGAGGAACCAGTCTGGAGAAGGACATCATGCTTGGCAGAGGGTCAGCAAAAAAGAGGAAGACCCTCACGGAACCTAAGGACAACAACAGCACAATGCCTGGCACAAGGGTGACGCTCATAAATTAAACCAGTCGATAAATCCACTAATTGTGGCCCTAAGGAAAATCAAGAAAACAGCCCTTCGCTTCACATCAAGTCAAAACAACATCTGTCTTACGGTTCTGTACGTTTTTGCAATACGGGAGGAAAATATCACAACTAACAAGATAGAGAACAGAGAGGGGAAAGACGTTAAGAGTCACTTGACGGGAAAAATTAACGTCACGTTCCCCGCACCCTCCACCTCTCGCAATCCTGGCTTCGTTCTCGGCCTGGAGGATGCAGGAACGACGACTGGGGACACTTCTGAGGCGGGCAGGGGTCGGCCACAAATCCTCAATCCGTCCAGCTCCCCAAATTCCCCTCCATAACTGGGTCGCCGCGGAGTGAGATTTGAGTGGTCACCTACCCTCGTCCGCGTCATACATATTGGCAAACGGCTCCGGAGCGCCTAACTCTTGAAATTAGAAACACAATGACCAGCAGCAACCACCAGCACCCAGAGACCGCGTCGAAGTAATTTCCGTTTCCGGCGTTCCCAGAATACTGTGCGTCTTACACCAAAGGCCACCCACAAAGACGCCAATGTTAGAACTGCGCTTGCGCAAATGGTGGGGCGCGTTAGCTAGTGTTGGCTTTACGCACGCGCAAATTCTGAGACGACGCCTCTTATGGCTGATCGGTAGGATACCTCCTACGGTTAGAGGGTAGCTTATGGGTCGGATTCAACCAGTGCAAGTGTTTATGTGCATATTCTCAGTGTTGTTGCGCAAATAATGATTCGTTAAAAAAAAGCCAAGATTTATTAATTTAAAAAAGTTTTATTAATAAAAGGCTTTAGTTGCGGCCGTGAGTCCGCGACCCCTGATGCTTTATTTTCTGCACTTCTAAAGACTAAGTTTTTAAAATGTAATTTATTAAGAGCAGGGTGTGCTGGTGGTGGCACGTTGAAGGAGGTTGAACGTCAACAAACTCAAAGCACTCACTATCCTCTTGTGCCGACTAAGTCAGTATTTAAATACCAGGTGCGTTCGAGGGAGCTTCAAAGCGAGTTCTCAGGCCTCAAAGCTCTCCCATCGCGAGAACTCACGGGATTAGAAGCGGGAGGAGGAGCCAGAGTAACAGCTCCCAGACATCCCCGAGTTTTCGACTTGCGTTTGCCTTGCGCCTCGATCCCGAATGCGCCTGTGCGCAAGTGGCCCCGCCCCTTTGCGCAGGGGACGTGTTTCTCATGCTGTCCGCACGCCTAACCTGCGGGTTGCTGCACTCGTTATTGCGGGCATCCGCTTCTGCGGTAGCGGGCCGTGGCCTTCGGGAGCCGCTGCTCGAGAGAGGATGCGCGGCCGCCTCCTCTTTCCAGCACCCTTCGGGCGTGGGACATGGGCTTTCTTATGGCCCGATGGCAACTGGGGGCTACGGAGGAAGAGATGACATGGAGGAGCGTTTTCTGTTCCCTGAGTACGTCGCAGAGCAGGAGCCTGAGCGGACCCCCGAAGAGCAGCTGGAGCAGCTGCAGCAGCGGCAAGAGGAGGAGGAGCGACAGAAGCAGCAGCTGCGGGAGGAGCGACGCCAGCAGAAGCTACGGGCCAGCCGCCGGGTGCACCCGGACGTGGGGCACCCAGACCCGGCGGTGCCGCCCAGCGGCGTGAACTGCTCAGGCTGCGGGGCGGAGCTGCACTGCCAGGATCCCGGCGTGCCTGGCTACCTGCCCAGCGAGAAGTTTCTCAGCGCCGCGGCGCAGGTCGACGGGGGGTTAGCGCGGACGGTGTGCCAGCGCTGCTGGTTGCTGGTGCACCACCGCCGCGCCCTGCGCCTGCAGGTGAGCCGCGAGCAGTATCTGGAGCTGGTGAGCGCCGCGCTGCGGCGACCGGGGCCCGCCCTGGTGCTCTACATGGTGGACTTGCTCGACCTGCCCGATCCCCTGCTGCCCGACCTGCCGGCACTGGTGGGCCCCAAACAACTGATCGTGCTGGGGAACAAGGTGGACCTGCTGCCCCAGGACGCTCCCGGCTACCGGCGGCGGCTCCGGGAGCGGCTGTGGAACGATTGTGCCCGCGCCGGGCTCCTGCCGCCTCCTAGCTACCGAGGGCCACAGCACCCCGGCGGAGACGGGCCTGGGGACGGGAAGGAGAATCCGAATCCGTCCGCCGAGCTCCGCACGGTGCTTAGGGACGTGCGCCTGGTAAGCGCCAAGACCGGCTACGGGGTCGAAGAGTTGATCTCCGCGCTTCAGCGCTCCTGGCGCTACCGCGGCGACGTCTACCTGGTGGGCGCCACGAACGCCGGCAAGTCCACTCTCTTCAACACACTGCTGGAATCCGACTACTGTATCGCCAAGGGCGCCGAGGCCATCGACAGGGCCACCATCTCCCCCTGGCCAGGTGAGCCTTAGGAGGCTCGCCCCTTCAGTTTCTGAGAAGTTGGACGTCTGGTGGTGCGTGACCTCAGGCACCTAGTACATCTTTCTGTCATGTCCACCAGAGGGTGCCTGGAGCCTTCCCTTTAAAAATTCTCTCCAAACTTTGGTTACAGGTCTCTTTTCTGAGTCAGCTTAGTGCTTGGAGAATGTGTATGTATTGTAGTAATTTTCTAATAGAAGTATTTACAGAGCACTTCTATGTTTCAGTCACTATTTTAGGCGCTGGAGATATACCAGAGAACAAAGCAAAGTTCTGCTCTCTTGGAGGTTTCCCTTGTAACTTCTTTGTATATTTCTCTGAAAAGTTATTCTTCCTTTTACTCTGAACCTCCACCCTTCAGTCCTACTCCTCATATCTTGAGTTTATTCATTTAAAGGTGAAGTGTGCTCTACACATTTCACGTTTGAAAAATTCACTGAAGCAATATGATGTGTGGCTCTGTCTAGAAGAAATGTCGATCTTGTGGCTTTAAGAAATTTCTGTAATCGGAAAATGGGTCCTTCTCTGACCCTGTTGGAGCCCTGGTGGCACAATGGGTAAGAGCTGGGCTGCTAACCGAAAGGTCAGCGGTTCAAATCTACCAGCTGCTCTTTAGAAACCCTATGAGGCAGTTCTACTTTGTCCTATAGAGTCGTTATGAGTCGGAACCAACTCGATGGCCCATAACAACAACATGACCCTGTTAGTATTTAATAGTTGACAGTAAGGTCTTTGAGTCAGAATTGGCTGGAAGGTGTCAGGTTTGGGTGTTTTTCTTTTTTTGGTTTAATCATTCGGGGGTACTAACTGCCAGTTGTTCCTTTGAAACCAGAGTTTAGCTTTGTTTAGTAAACTTTTTTCTTTATTGGCTTTAAACTTTGTTTTGTTTTGTTTTTTAATTGTGCTTTAGGTGAAAGTTTACAGCACAGATTAGTTTCTCATTCAAAAATTTATACACAAATTGTTTTGTGACATTGGTTGCAATCCCCACAATGTGACAGCACAGTCTCCCTTTCCATCCCAGGTTCCCCATATCCATTTGTCCAGTTTTCCTGTCCTTTCCTGCCTTCTCATCTTGCTTTGGGACAGGAGTTGCCCATTTGATCTGGTATACTTGATCAAACTAAGAAACACGTTTGCTATTGTTTGTTTTTTAGGCCTGTCTAATCTTTGTCTGGAAGATGGGCTTCAGGAGTGGCTTCAGTTCTGAGTTAGCAGGGTGTCCGGGGGCTATAGTCTTGGGGGTTCCTCCAGTCTCAGTCAGACCAGTAAGTCTGGTCTTTTTCTGTGTGAGTTTGAATTTTGTTTTAGATTTTTCTCCCACTCTGTCCGGGATATTGTGATCTCTGTCAGAGTGGTGGTGGTAACTGGGCACCATCTAGTTCTGGGCTTGAGCTGGTGGAGGCTGTGGTTCATGTGGTCCATTAGTCCTTTGGGCTAATATTTTTCTTGTGTCTTTGGTTTTCTTTCTGCTCTGAACTGTGGTTGAATTATACAGGAAAGTGCTTCTATGCATGGTGAAAATGGAAAGAAATCAGATCTGCAGATTTTAGATTCAAATCCTGAGCCAATCTGAGCCTGTTTCTTCATCTGTAAAATGGGAGTAATTTTATAGAGGATTGTCAGGAAGGATAAGTGAGATAAGTCACTGTACTCTACACAGTGTAGCTCTTCAAAAATGTTAGTCCTCCATTCCATTTTTTTTTTTTAACAGTGTTTATAAAAACTTATTATTTGGTATTTCAGGTACTACATTAAACCTTCTGAAGTTTCCTATTTGCAATCCAACTCCTTATAGAATGTTTCAAAGGCAAAAGAGGCTTAAAAAAGATGCAACAAAAGCTGAAGAAGATCTTACCGAGCAAGAACAAAATCAACTTAATCTCTTGAAAAAGCATGCTTATGTAGTAGGTAAGCATCTTCTATGCTAAAATTCTTTGTTGAGCAACCTGAAATATAGCTGTCTGGGGCTAGCCAGTTTTTGTGGGGAACACAGAAGCCCTTCAGAGGAGAGGCTACTGTTTAGAAACCCAGAGGTCAGTATGCTGGGAAAACTGAGACCATAGTTACTTGGAGGAGTCCAGAAAAGAAACCATGCAATAGCTGCCCACGTAGCCATTGTCAGCAATAGAAACATTTCCCCCAAGATACACCCTCTTCCATGCAGACTGTTATAATAGTGAAGTTGTTGATTCCCTGCAGCAGCTTTAAATTAATTTTCCCTCTTTTCCTGGGTATCTCTTTCCAGCCTTTCTTTACTAAAAACAGTTTGATTTCCAACACCACACTAGCCCCAACACTACACAGCCAGTTGTACGCTTGATCATTGCAACGGTCTGACTCCCACTGCCTTTGGGGAAAAAAGCAAAGGTAGTAACATAGTCTCATTTCCATATACTGTAGTCTTAGTAACTTGTTTGAGGCAAACAAAAATTACCTGTATGGAGTCAAAAGCTTTAAAGGAGTGAAAATAATGTCAATATAACTTGTTCTAGGAAGAGTGGGAAGAACATTCCTGTATTCAAAAGAACAGAAAGATGAAGCTACCTTTGAGTTTGATGCTGATTCACTTGCCTTTGACATGGAAAATGAACCTGTTGTTGTAGACAAATCCACCAAACGAGTAGAACTGACCCCACAAGATGTGAAAGATGCCCACTGGTTTTATGACACTCCTGGAATTACAAAAGAGAACTGTGTATGTATTTGGTTTCTTTTAGAAATATTCACAGTCAGTTGCACAAGTACTGTCTTAATTGGCAAGAAAGAGGGTATATTTTCATTTTAGACTCAGTTATGATTCATGCGTAAAGACAGCTCCGGGATGAATCATGTTCTATCTTCCCTTTGGTAGCCATCACTGCTGACAGCCTTCTTGTATTCATTATGGGTGTTATCTTAGTTAGGAAGCTATTTATAGAATCCTAGACTTGAGATTGAAAGAAATCTTAAATATCACTGCAGTCCAACACTCTATTCCATGCTTGAATTACCTCTATAAAATATCCATCAAGAGGCATCCAACTTGAACTTAAGTAAGGAGTGACTCTCCATCAGCTGAAGCAGTATCCTGTCACCTCCCAACATGACACATTTGACCGCTGACCTGCTCTGACTTTGTGTCGAGCTGAGCAGTCTTCCTGTAACTTGGACCCATTGTTTTCTAAAAGCTGTGTAGTAATGACTACTTCCTTTGCCAGACCTTGAAATATTTTAAAATGTACTGTCCTGTCTCTTCCTCATTCTGTTGCTACCCCTCTCTTTCATTTGTTTACCTAGCTAAACACTGAGCACTTACTCTGCTGACTCATAATCCAGATTATTTTTCTTCATTTCCTACAGCTGTTCTCTCTTAGAGATGGGATCCAGGCTATTCATCATCCCAGGCCTCTTTTCAGAATGTTTTCTAATTTGTTTTTGTTCTTAAAGTATGGCAATGAGAACTGAATTTCTTGTATAAGTGCTCTCAGACGAGCATAGTTTAGAATATGATTAACTCCACCTGTCTTGCCCTTATAAATCTTTGGAATCCAGTTGCAGAATCATGAGCAACTTTAATTTTTTCTTGTTAAATTAGTTTATATCCTACTCTGTTATATAAAAATTAAATCTCACAACTTTTTATTCATTTGCTGTTTTGATTTTCATCCAATCATTGATTGATTCGAGTGTGCGCTGAGGATACAGCCTTGCAACAAACAGATCCATTAACCATCATCCTTTGAATCCGGTTACCGATGATGTCTGACTCACCTAGTTATCTCTGAAAAAAAACCGTCAGTGCTTTCTTAGGTACTTCTTCCTTTGCTTCATCTGGATCGCTTACAGTTTCATTCTCAGAATTGTATTCTAGCTGGTGTCCTAGGCCTAGAATAATTGTTAGGTAGTCTGGGTGGCGCAAACAGTTAAGCACTTGACAGCTAGTCATTACTAGCCAAAAGTTTGGCAGTTCAAACCCACTCAGATGTGCCACCTCGAAAAACAGGCCTGTCGATCTGCTCCCAAAAGGTCACAGCCTTGAAAACCCTATGGAGCAGTTCTACTTTGCACACACGGGGTCACCATGAGTCAGAATTGACTCGACGGCAACAACAACGAAAAGAATAATTATTTGTGCACAGCCTTTCCTTCGTTAGCAATCCATAACCTCAGTGTAAATGGACTGCTTTCTAATAATGGTCTCTCAACTTCAACTAATTCTTCCCTTTCAGACCCAGTTAGGTCTGGGATAGTAGTTACTTTAGTAACTCTTGTGAAATAGATCAGAAAGGCAAGAATTCGCAGGATATTTTTGCCAGCAGAATGAGACCCTCAAGTTTTTAGGTAGAAAAGTCTCCCAGCACTAGTAGTTTGCTTCTGTGCCATTTACACTCATTTGATGTTTTAAACCAATGTTTCCCAAACTAACTAACGAACTCCATTGTGAAATGGAAGTATTAAGCCCTCAGCAAAAAAAGGCTAGAAGGTTTCTTTATCCATTTTTTTACCTTCTGTATTCATTTTTTTTGGAAACCCTGGTGGCGTAGTGTTTAAGAGTTCGGCTGCTAACAAAAAGTTGAATCTACCAGGCGCTCCTTGGAAACCCTATGGGGCAGTTCTACTCAGTCCTACAGGGTCACTGTGAGTCGGAGTCGACTCAATGGTAACAGGTTTGGTTTGTTTTGGATTCATTTTTTTAACCAGATTTTGATTCCTTAAATCCTACCAGAATCTTATACTTCCTGGTTTTCCTTTTCTATTTTTTCTAGTCTGTTTAGAAACTCTTCATCCTTAGAAGCAAGAGGATGCATAACTTTCTCGTTTTTTTGCTGAATATTTGAAGGAAATAAGGAAATTGAAGATCAGAATTTAGAAAGATTTTTCAAGCTTTTTACCTGCCCCTTGAGTTGGTGACCATTTTGCATTTAATGCATACATAGTTAACTACTGGGACATAAGGTAGCATATTCTGTTACCTTAAGCTGAAAACCATTGCTCCTTAGAAGCTTTGAGGGAGAGAGCATATTTTCTAATTTGCAATTACATCAGCAGTGTTTTCAGGCTCACATTGATTTTGACATTGGGGTTGGGGGTGGGGATTTGCTGGTAACATTGGAAAGTCCCATACTCTTAAAAAATTGTTTTGCTCTTACTTAGGTTTAAGTTGTGAAAGTACTAAGAGTAGAACCATCAGTAAATTGAGATTAATTTAGACAGGAAAAAAATATATAAATTTTTTGTGCAGCAAATTCTGACCGTTTATTGTGTAGTCTGGAATAGTAACTTTTCATTACTTTTTACCTTACAGGTAAGTCATAATATATTGTTTCTTCAGTAAAGGTAATTCTCTAAAAATCTGCTATTTCCTTCACAGATTTTAAATCTTCTAACAGAAAAAGAAGTAAATGTTGTTTTGCCAACACATTCCATTGTTCCAAGAACTTTTATGCTTAAACCAGGAATGGTTCTATTTTTGGGTGCTATAGGCCGCATAGATTTCCTGCAGGTAAGGAAAGTCTGTACCATTAAAAAAAAAAAAAAAAAAAACTAAGTACTGGGATTTACTTTAAGTATTCCAGGAAAAAAATGGGGGAAGGGGTTAAGAAATCGGTCATATGAACAAGACCAGCAAAATGTTGATAACTTGGTGATGACTATATGAGGATTTGATATACTATTCTTTTTTGTATGTTAGAAAATGCCCATAATAAAAACTTGGAAGGGAAAAAAAAATGCCTTCCCCTGCTCCAAATAAAGGGACTAGGCCTTAAAAACTGTATCTTCACTGAGATATTGAGCGTCCCATACAGCTTGGCATTTAAGACAGGATGATACTGTCCCTTTCCTGTGGTGGTGTTTCATGTGGAAATCATAGGTCAGACCTTTAGGTACAGGGTGGGTATGCATTAAGTAAATTCCAGGATTTTTTGTATCATGGTATGTATGCTTTTTATGTATGTTTTTGTTGTTTGTTTGGCATTCATTTGCATAGCATCATTCAGGGGATCTAGGAGGTCTGTGGAATGGTTCCCTGTTTTACCAAAGTGAAGGGGGGAAAAGGAAAATGAAACATGGAGTATGTCCAGCAATACTGAATGCAATTTACAGGCCATTGCAATAGCACGTTTCTTGAGTTTTATAGTCATAACTTATTGAAAGTTTAGCGTTACGCACTTAGAACCCTTTTATAGTTTACTAAAGCACACAGAATATCAGTTTTTACATAGATACAGTTAAAGAGACAGTATTTCCTCTTTGTTTTTAATAATACAGTATTGTTTGGATTTTTTGTGTTTTTTTTTTAATGATATCAACAAAGCTGTAGAAGCAGTCACAGTTTTCCATGGATTGCTAAAATGCACTGTTTCAGTATTGTGCCTTTTTTTTAGGCATTAATATTGCTTAATTACAGCTTCCGTATCAGAGTAATACTTAGAGAAGGAGCTTGATTTTTTTTTTTTTGTAATAGATTATACCATGTAATGTGCTGGTTTTGTAAGATTTTATTGTGTAAAATAACTTCTTTCTTCCTATCTCAAGGGAAGTCATTCAGCTTGGTTTACAGTTGTGGCTTCCAACTTCCTTCCTGTGCACACTACTTCCTTGGACAGGGCAGATGCTGTGTATCAGAAGCATGCAGGTCATACCTTACTGAAGGTAAGGTGACACACTTTGATGATTGCATATAGTTGTATTAACGTACAGCGTGATAGTCCCATAGCCCTGCAAAGAAACCTTTGTTGGACAGAGCAGTCTTTGGTATGCTGTCAGCCAGCTCCTCCCTCACCTATAAAGTGAAATGGGCTGCATAAGAAAAAAAGGAGTTGATTTGGACTGATCCTAGAATAGCTACAGAGCTGTGCCTTCTCTAGACTACACTGCCCAGTACAGTAGTCATTAGGCACATGTGGCTATTTAATTTTTTTTTAATTAGTTAAAATTTAAATAAAATTTAGTTCCTTCATCACATTGACCACATTTCATATGCCCAGTAGTCACATCATTGCAGAAAGTTCCAGATGACAATGCTGCTCATAACGGGAAGAGACATGGATTTTGTCACAACTGTAGGGATTTCGGTCACTACCCAAATCTAGTGGGTAGAGGCCGGAGATGCTGCTAAGTGTCTTACAATGCACAGGATAGCCCTTCACAACAAAGAATTATTTGGCCCAAAGTGGCAATAGAGCCAAGGTTGAGAAACGTTGCACTAAAGAGATCTTTTCAAAATACAAAGCAGGTCACATTATTCTTTTTGATCTTTTCTCTGTCCAGCTTATAATTCTTTGGTAGGTCCACATTACTCAGAGAAGTCTAATCTGTAGTTCCTTGAACTCATCAACCGTTTTCCAGTTTTTTGTATCTGTACATGTGCTTACCCTTCTGCCCAGAATACATTTCTACTGAGTAACTTTGACCCATTTCTCAAAATACTGCCCACATATTACTTCTTCACTAATGTTGTCCTTGACCCAAAACACATTAATTAGTCCTCTCGTCACAACCATAGCACTTTATAGATGCCTCTCTTATCACATTTCTCACCGTGTATTTGTTTATATGTCATTTCCCCCATCTGATCTTAAGGGCAGGGACCATTTTGTAACATCTATCTTTGTGCCCCTCGTGTCTAACACAAGACCTGGCCTGGAGTAGGCATTCAAGATAGGCATTCATTTATTAATGAATGGATAGATAAATTATTATCAAGTTCCTTCCAATTCATGGAAACATCTCCATTATATATGTACCCTTGGCTTGTCATGAGGTGGAAATTAATCTTCATGGCCAGGACTATAACAACTGAGGTATTTGGAGGGACACTGCCTTAATTGCCCAACACTACTCTTTGTAATAAAGTCCTATGGAGGGCTATAAAAACAGTGTGAACTAATAAAACACGATTCTTCTGTCAAGAGGTTACCACCATATGCCTGCCCAACATGTGGCCCTTGGCACTGGGATTTGTACTTTTCATCATAGACACGGGGCTTCCATGCTTTTCATTTGACCCTGGAAGTGATTTCGAGTTTTTTCAACAATTGAATGCTTAAAAGGATTTCATCCTTGATCCCTGTAGAGAATCATTTTACTAGTGTTTTGCTTAATATTAGAGTTACAGGGGATTTTATTTGAACTTCTAAGCATCTTCATTTTATTTTAATGAAAGGTACCAATGGGTGGAGAAGAGCGAATGGCAGAATTTCCTCCTCTTGTTGCTGAAGACATTACATTAGAGGAAGGACTTGGGGAATCTGAAGCAGTGGCTGACATCAAGTTTTCCTCCGCAGGTTAATTTACACCAAGCCCATTTTAAAAGTTGAATGAAGTTGCCTTATGACTTATATACTGCAGTAGTGTAATTTTATAGAAATGTATGTCTTATGTAAGCTGAGTATTTTAAGGACTACATAAGAAGTTTTAAAAAGAGTGAAAGAGAGCATAGCCTCCTTTTGTGCTCCATTTTGAGTTTTGGTTTGGTGTTTTCGATAAGATGACTGCTAACTCCATTTTGTGTTCTGTTGCATGCCTGCATAGGTTGGGTCACAGTAACACCTCGGTTTAAAGACAGATTGCATCTCCGAGGCTATACACCTCAAGGAACAGTTCTGACGGTCCGGCCCCCTCTCTTGCCATATGTTGTCAACATCAAAGGAAAGCGCATCAAGAAAAGTGTGGCCTATAAAACCAAAAGGCCTCCTTCCCTTGTGTACCATCTGCAGAAGAAAAAGCATTTAAATGTATGAGGCTGACCTTGTTCACAATGAATATTTACTGAACATAACTATGTACATTGAATTATATTAAATACAACTATAATAAAACTCCCCTCCTCCCAACCATTTTTAGAGATCTTAACAGATGGCCTTTTTAAACTACTTGGACTGTGTCTGTTTGTAATGTAATGAGCTTGTAAATACATGTTAGTTTTTGTAAGGTATGTATGTATCTGTGACCCAAATATACCATAAAAAGGAGTTCTGCTAAAAGGACAAATATTGTATAAGACCACTATTATAAGAACTCAGGAAAAGGTTTAAACACAGAAGAAAACATTCTTTGATGGTTACAAGTGTGGGGAGGGAGGGAGATGGGTATTCACTAAGTAGATAGTAGACAAGAATTATCTTAGGTGAAGGGAAGGACAACACACATTACAGGTGAAGTCAGCACCACTGGACTAAACCAAAAGCTAAAAAGTTTACTGAATATAACCAAACCCTTTGAGGGACAGAGTAGGAGGGGCAGGTGTCTGGGGACCATGGTTTCAGGGGACATCTAGGTCAATCAGCATAACAAAGTTTATTAAGAAAATGTTCTGCATCCCACTTTGGTGAGTGGCATCCAGGGTCTTAGAAGCTAGCAAATGGCCATCTAAGATACATCAATTGGTCCCAACCCACCTGGAGCAAAGGAGAATGAAGAACACCAAAGACACAAGGAAAATAGTAGCCCAAGACATAGAAAGGGCCACATAAATCAGAGACTCCATCAGCCTGAGATCAGAAGAACTAGATGATGGTGCCCAGCTACCACCAGTGACTGCCCTGACATGGAACACGACAGAGAGTCCCTGATGGAGCAGGAGAAAACTGGGGTACAGAACTCAAATTCTAGTAAAAAGACCAGACTTAATGGTCTGAGACTGGGGGGACCCCAGAAGACATGGCCCCGGACTCTGTGTTAGCCCAAAACTAAGACCATTCCCAAAGCCAACTCTTCAAAGATTAGACCGGACTATGGGACATAAAATCATACTCGTAAAAGTGTGCTGCTTAGCTCGAGTAGATACATGAGACTAAGTGGGCAGCTCCTTTCGGAGCTGGTTGAATGGACCCGGGAAATCAGGTGGAAAGGAGGACTGTACTGTCACGGTATAGGGAAAGCAGTTATGGTCACATAACTGTGTGTATATATTTAGGTATGAGAGACTAACTTGAATTATAAACTTTCACTTAAAGCACGATTAAAAAAAAAAGGCCTACTATAGTCAAGTTTCTCCCACTTTTTTTATTGACATAGTTAGGATTTTTTCCTATTTGGAGTCTATAGTTGACAGGGCAGTTTAGTAGTTGGCATATTTAAAAATGGCAGAAAATCAATTTCTCCAAATACATTGGCTGAAATAAAGTGCGTATGTGGCTCTGCTCCATATAGTCATCCAAGGATCCTACTAGTGGAACACTCCATGCCTTCCATCTCTAAGTCTAAGCTGGTTACTCAAATTGTCGTGATTTCCTAGCAAGTGGGAAGAGGGGGACCGAATGTAAAGCAAGCACCTTCCCTATTTAAAAGGAGAAAAAAAAGTTGCATACATCACTTCAGCTCACAGAGCTCATTGGTCAATAGTCAGATGGCCACACCCAGTCACATGGCCACACCCAGCCACAAGGAAGCTGGGAAATGGGAACCATTTCAGGTTTTTATTAAGGAAAGAAGGGGATACTGGAGAATAATTAAAAGTCCACAATTTAAAAATGCCTTAACAGCTTAGATAAAAAAATTCAAGCTATATCTTTTCTGTAACTATAAAAGCACTTTAACCATTGTGTTTACATTTGCCTATATTACATTTAACCTGTTCAATCTTGTGTAACATTTACTATAGTTAAAGCCAAGAAACACATCAATCAGAAGTCAACCTTCTGCTATCCCTAGGTGGTAAGTAGTACTACAGCTGTTCACAATGAATAATTGGCAAGTCAAGTCCTAGATCCTAATGTTGAAAAAAATGCTAGTGGGATAAAACTGGGCTGAAATGCCATCAGATTTATGAACTTCCTGTAAACTCTGAGGTCTGACATAAACTTCTTAATAGAGACACAGGTTCTCTGCCAATGTGTGGGATGTTGTGTAGGAGCACCTGTATATTTCACATTTTCCTGCCTTCCCTTCTACCACTCTTCTCAGTAACTCCTGTTAGAATAAAGATAAAGGAAAAATTGAGATGCAACCTGTAATAACTTTGTAGATCTCACTTTTATAGTCTTTCAAAATGGGTACTTTTGGTATCTTGGGAAAGATAATTTTTTTGTCTGTAAAACTTTGTGTCCAGCCTTTTTGGTCCCCAGACACTGATTGCCAGTAGCAACTGCCTCTCCCCTCCTCCCACCTGTCATTGTGACACCCAAAAAGTACCCTCAAAATTTCCAAATGTACCTCTAGAGGGTAGTAGCTTCCCGAATTGAAAAAACTGGAAGTTGATTTCTAGTTATTTTGTTTTATTTTGTAGAGAATGAAATACCATTCATTTTACCAGTTAAAAGTGTGGCCATTATATTTCTACCTTCTGTTGAGAACAAGAGTTCATAATTTAGAGCTAACACCTGAATCCTTAGAATGAAGAAAATATGGTAAATTTCTCATTTATAGAGAAATACAGAGCCTTAAAAACTAACAACTGTCATTACCCTGACAACTTATGAATATGTTTTAGAAAGCGGAGCATTCCCTCTCCTTACCGTCTCTCCAGGCTCTTAGGCCTCTTGACTAGCAAAGACTCCATTTTTAAATGTTCATAGTTCATATTCTTAGGTCTCTTTTACTTCTAAAATTCAACAGTTTTGTTTCATAAAGTTCAACTCAAGCTTACCTAAAAATGTTCCAAGCTACCTTTCTAGGAGTTTCAAGTAGTTCAATTTACTAAGTTTCAGTTTCTTTAGTTATATTAATCTCTTTGGATCTTGATTTTCTCATCTATGAAGTGAGGGAATTACACTAGTTCTTGCTGAAAGGTTCCCAGTTCTAATCTTTTATGATTCTGACTAAAAACAGGCAGAAAAGAAAGCCAGGGAAGGGTGGTTACAATAACTCAGAAAAGACACTCCATGCCTAGACTTAGTTGAGGACCTTTGCTATGACCTGGTATTACTCCATGTTTTTCCAAACTAATGCAGCCCAGGGGCACTGCTGGACTATCCCCGTGCTCCACAGTGGATTTTGCTTTAAGAAAGTTCTGTTACTGTTTTGGTTTCTGAGCATTAGCCAGTTTACTGATACCTCTTAATCCATTAATCTGAGTATGGAGACCTCCCTTGAATCAGTAATCATTTACACTATGGTAAGGTGCGGGAGGTAGTGGGCCCTTTAATGGCAAAATGTCAGGACATCCCCCTCACTTCCACAGGATAAAGAAGTTGTTTTGAAAACAACTAAGCAAGTTTATACTAGACTGTTTACTGAACTCTGCACCCTAGTGGTGTTAAGCATGTCACACCTCTTTTGTGTTAAAGACACTCAAAGGAAGTGAAACGTGCCATCAAAGGCTTTGTAAGTCCTATAAGACATCAGGCTGAAAGTTGTATTTTTAAAAATTTAGACTTGTAAGTAATCTCGGCTTTTCCACCTCTGATAAAGCTAGAGTAACATCATCCTCTTCAAAGTTACTGAGACAAACTGAAAGTGGTGAAGTACTTTGTATTTTTAAGCATCTTAAATGCCAAGCCCTACCAATCACCAGGGCTTTACTGGTAGTTTCCCAGTGTTTAAGTTTGTGTACGTTACTTGCGACACTCACTTCCCATGACAGCCGATTAGCAGAGGGCACACGCAGTCTTGTGTGCTTGTGTTTCTTGGTCATTCGGACACTTCCTGCAAAATGGAGATCAAGCCTCATTTCTGCAGATGACTAACTTGGAGCCCCAGCTGTGGCAGCCACAGCAGAGCTGTTATTGCTTCACTGAGCAGGCACCCAGTGCTCAAGCTGAGGCAAGCTGTTTCGGAGACAGCCTCTGATCATTTACCCTGGCTTCCCTCCCACTTGGCTCTGCATCGTGGAGCAATAGAATCATTTTCATTCTTTCTCAGACTGTTCCATTTTCTCCTGGCTGCTTTCCTCCTCCCAGGGGGATTGTTTTCTCTCAACTGTCAAACAGTAATGTTTAAACATGAAAAGCAAGGCTTCAAATTCATGTGAATCCAATAGATAACACCTCTGCCCACTCTTAATGTCTCTCCATGGTATAATGCCCTGTAGAGGGTGGGGAATGTTTCAGGATTAATATTTTAACATCATGTAGGAATGATGCCTCACCTTCTCCTTTCATGTCAAAGAGCATCTTTATTCTCCATATAGACAATAGCTCCAGGGGTTTCATGACCTGAATGCTCCTAAGTGTATCTACATCATCCTCAAAACACCCACTGCTTAGACCCCTAGGTTCCTGTTTTTCAAAACCAGCCTTTTACTTCCCAAGTAATTCTCTGAATTTACCTTCTGGGTAGTCCACCTAGCAGAAGAGTTTATTTGGTATTAATATTCTCACTGGAAGATGAAGTAATAGGTAGATGCTTACTCACAGACATTGTCAGTACCTCAGTACAGACATTCTCAGTAAATCTGAGAACAAGAAGCCCCCCAAAAAAAAAAAAAAAAAGACACATGCTAGACATGTGTCAGGTGATTTTGAAAGCAAAAGATTGCCAAGATTCTTTCTAGCCTTTCATTAGGTCCTCGGAAAATAGTAGGCATTTAATGCATGAATGAATGAATTAGGAGAGTGAGGGGTTTTTTTTGTTTGTGTGGCTAGCTGGTTTTTGCCTTCCCTGGAAAATAAAAAAGAGCAGAATTACTTTTTGCTTAGTAGCATTTACATTTATTTCTTCTAGAGTTTCTTCCTTCCCTGCATAAAGACAGCACCTCACATTCAGGAAGTTGTATTTCAGACTACTCATAGTTACTATAATCATAACATAGCCCATATACCTTCTTTTTACTCCTTTATATTCTTACATATTTCTTATAATAATAATAGTAACTAGCCCTTATATAGAACATGAGCCAGGCACTGTATAAGGGCTTTACATATATTAACTAAATCCTCATAACAACCTCATGCTGTAGGTGCTAGTACCCCCTAATTGGGTGTAATTTAGTATTTCCTAGATAAGAAAACTGAGGCACAAGTTGCCCAGGGTCACACACCTAAGTGATAGAGCTGTGATTCAAACACAAGCAGCCTAGCCTCCACACTATTGCATGATTTTTTTTAATTATACAGTTAAATTGACTTTTTTTTCTCTTGATGTACAGTTCAATGGAAGGAGCTCTGCTCTGATGGCACAGTGGTTAAAGA